CACGTCTTGCTGGGTTATTGAGTTACATGCTTACATTGAGTTAGTTGTTGATGGTGAACTGGAAAGTTTTTCTATACACGTCTTGCTGGGTTATTTGAAGAACTTTTTGCCACGATGGCTAAAGGTTCCTAGCATGTTGTTGTTAGTGGCTGTCGGGTCAGCCCTCCCTCCGCTCATGGTGACTCACATACAACGAAGCGAAACTGCCTGCTCCACACCATCCCCGGGATCAGGCGCAGATCAGAGCCTTGTAATGCCTGGGGTTCTCACTGGGTGACTTCCAGAGGGAGATCCCAGGCCTTTTTTCCTGGTCGGAGTCTGGGAGCCCTGCTGGACTTGGCCAGCCTCACAGCAGCACTCCAGCCTCCATGGACACGTGGGGGGTGGCCGTACACGCAGTACACTGGCCGGGAATCGAACCTGGCTCTCTTGAATGGAACCATTAGTGGCCCTGCTAGCATTGTAATCACTTCCGCTGTTCCTCCACCACTAAATTACCACCTTCAGAAAGAGAGGCACTGCTTCTCCATGGACCTTGCCTCTCACAGGTGCTGGATTCATTTTTGTTGGTGAAATTAGTGGGTGAGAGGAAGAATGGCTGACATTAGCTCTCCTGATTGTTTGAGGTTCGTTGTGCAGAGAATTAAGGTCTGGCAGGGGTCAGGTTTTGCTGGAAGGCCAGTTTTGACTATAGGCCACCAAAATGTCACTGGGATATATTTTCCAGAGTGACATTTTCTCATTGAAAGTGTGCATGGGCAACTCTCACGTGCAGAATATTCAGATATTGGTATGCTAGTTCTCTGAGAGTCACATTTCCGAAAACACGCTTAATGGAAATTGAGTTGTGGGAAGTCTTCAGTGATCCTGTGTGAGGCAAATGGTTTTAGTGAGAGACAGAATTGGTCTTTCAATAGTTATCATGGTGCTAAATTAACAGGCTTGCAGTGATTTGGAGGGAGCTCTGGTGGCGTAGTGGATAAGACATTGGCTGCTAATCAAAAGGTCAGCAGTTCAAACTCACGGCCGCTCCATGGAAGGAAGGTGGTGAGATCTACTACTGTAAAGATTTACAGCCTCGGAAACCCAGTGGGGGTCGCTGTGAGTCGGAATCGACTTGATGGCTGTGAGTTTGGTTCATTTGGTTACAGTGACTTGGATATTCTGGAATAGATTTAAAAAAAAAAAAAACCACTGAGTTGTCAAGAATATAGTTTCTCAGTTAATTTATGCCCATGCATTCCAAACCCACATGTTTCTCAATAAAATTTCCTGATGAGAAGCAACAAAATGTATTCTCTGACTGACATCATTTCTGTTTATCAGGCCCCACCCTCACCACCATTGGGGGCTTTGTTTGGCTGGTTAATTGATGTGTAATAATGAGTTCAAAGGGTCCCTGGGCAGTGCTGTCTGTTTGCTCTTGGCTACTAACCAAAAGGTTGGCAGTTGGAATCCTCCCCATCGCACCATGGAAGAAAGGCCTGGTGACCTGTATCTGTAAGATTCCAGCCGAGGAAACCTCATGGAGCTGTTCTCCTCTGTCACACATGGGGTCACCATGAGTTGGATTCACCTCAGTGGCGAAGGTTGGGGTGATGGGCCCTGGAGTGGTGCAATGGTTAACATGCTTGACTGCTAACAGGGAGGTTGGAGGTTCAAGTCCACCCAAGAAGTGCCTCAGAAGGAAGGCCTGGTGGCCTGCTTCCAGAAGGTCAGCCACTGAGAACCCGAAGGAGCCCAGGTCCTCTCTGACACCCACGAGGTCCGCGTCAGAGTCGACTCCAGGGCAGCTGTTTTCTTAACAATCCAAAGCAAAGTTGGGCAGAGCCAGCAATGCTACTCCCAAGGCCAAATACCGTAACTCCTGCCAGCTTCTGTTTCCTTGTTTGCGAGATGGGGTTCCCACTCTGCCCTGCTAGATGGGGGAGCAGACTGAGGCTGATAAGGTACCAGTTCCCAGGCCGCGTTGTGACCGTGTCTGCCTGGGAACGGGGCAGAGGGAACCTCCCGTGCTGAGTGGCCTCCATGACTGTCTTGGCAGTTCCCCTGGCTGAGTCCTTCCCCCCTGCACACGACAGGGCTGCCTCGCTTGTCTGGGGGGGTCTGCAGACCTGAGACTGCCCTGCTCAGCTCTCTCCAGCCAGCTATGCCCCTTTCTCTCTGTTTTCCCACCTGGAAAATGGGCGTCATAACCCTTCCTGGATTTGTGGTAAAGGGCAGGTGAAGTGGGCTTTGATTGACGTTGGTACTCGGTGTAAAAGCGAAGGATTTGATGTCAGAGGAGGTGGGATGGGGGACACTTGGCCAGCCTAAGTGCAGCCCTGCTTTCTTGCAGGACAGCAGCGTGTGACGGGGCCTCTGTGCTGCGGGATCGGAACCATGGCGTCCAGGCTGCTCACCCGGCAGCTGGCCTGCAGCCTCCAGCATAGCTACCGCCTGCTCCTGCCTGGTAAGTTGGGGGGCTGGGGCAGAACTGGGTAGAACTGGTGGGAAGTCGGAACCCAGACTCAGGCCTGGTCTGGAAGGTCTTTGGAGCCCTTCCCATCTCACTCGCTGCTGGCGGCTTCTGTCCCAGTGGACAGCCCTGCGGAGTGAGGCAGGTGATCTGTGCACAGAGCGGCGGGCCCGGCAGCCGGAAGGACCCAGGTGGTTCCTGCAGGGACAGGTGGAGAACACAGAGCCGGGGCTGCCGTCGGGGAACGAAGAAAGCCTGATGGTCTTCGTAGTTGGCCAGGAGGCCAGTCATGCTTCAGGGGGCACCGGACAGGAGGCACCATCCCATAAATGATCCCCCAGCCCCAGAGGGCCTCCTCACTGCCATAGACCCCGCGCCCAACTGGTCACCAGTGACTGCTCCTTCCTCCACTCAGCCACCTTCAGTGGCGTCTCCTGCTCGCTGCCTCCTAGTTTGTCTGAGCTCAGGCAGGCCAGCCAAGTGAGCCAATCAGGGGGCAGAGCCTCTCTGAGCCTCAGTTTCAACACTAGGCACCCTCCTGGCAGGCTGTTATTGGTGCCTCCCTCCCTGCAGTCCCACGGCGAAGGCACCAGTGAATCCCCATCTTAAGGTGAGGAAGCAGCCTCAGAGAAGCAGAGGAACTCACGTGGAGGAGCCCCTTCGGTGCAAGGCTGTGCGGCCCCAGATGCTGAGTTACCACCCCGCCGTGTCCCTCTGCAGCTCTGAAGCAGACACTGCCCACAGTCCCGCCCCCCTTTGCACACCTGGCACTGCCTCCTGCAGAGACATCTGCCCCTGCGGCTCTGGCCCGGCCGGGAAGTAGGTGCAGCGAGAACAGTGGGCCTCCACCTTTGACTCCAGTTCTCTCGAGCCCCTGTGCTTGTCATCCTGGTGTTGTCCTGTCTGCATGGTCCACACTGCTGCAGTGTCCACGCCTTGCAGGTTAAGATGTGGGATGAAGAGTATTAGCATGAGTATTCATAGCTGGAGTATCAGTACTCCTCTCCTGGGAGCGGGATATGGAGTGGGAGCATTGGTGCTGATAGCTGGAGTATCAATACTCCTGTCCCGGGAGTGGGATACAGAATCGGAAGCATTTGCGTTGGTACCGATAGCTGGAGTATCAGTATTCTTCCCCTAGGAGCAGGATACGGAATGGGAGCATTCACGTTGGTCCTGATAGCTGGAGTATCAATACTTCTGTCCCGGGAGTGGGATACGGAGTGGGAACGGGAGCATTGGTACTGATAGCTGGAATACCTGTACTCCTCTCCCAGGAGTGGGACACGGAGCAGGACCGTTCCTGTTAGCAGGAGTGGGATGTGAAATCGGGAGCATTTGCATTGGTACTGATAGCTGGAGTATCGGTACTCCTCTCCCAGAAGCAGGATAGAGAGTGGGAGTGGAAGCGTTAGTGCTGATAGCTGGAGTATCGGTACTCCTCCCTCACGAGTGGGACCGGAGCGGGAACGTTCACATTGGTACTGATAGCTGGAGTATCGGTACTCCTCTCCCAGGAGTGGAATATGGAGCAGGAGTGTTCTTGTTAGTAGTTATAACTGAAGTATCAGCACTCCTCTCCCGGGAGTGGGATATGGAATCGGAAGCATTTGCATTGGTATAAATGGCTCGAGTATTCACTCCTGTCTGTTTCCATAAACCCCCCACTCAGTCATCCTACAGTCACCAGCCTACATA